TGTTATATGACTACTCTAATTATTGAAATACTAATATTATTATCTGATGATGATGATGATAAGAAAGACGTTATCTAGAAGATGTTCTTCAAAGATTTTTTTTATTATTTGGTATCCCGAAGTTTGACCACTATCTCGCCTGGTGGTAAGCGATGTTGCGATCTAAGATGGATGAATTGCTAAATTCACACTTTTACATGTGGGTTCCAATAATAATTTCTCAATGATTGTATGTTTTCAGATCTACAAAGATGAAATTCTTCGCAGCCATCGTTCTTGTCGCCGCTGTGGCTTCAGCCACCCCCGTGGAGCGCCCCAGCGCCTCCGCAATTTTAGAACACCTCGCCGAGGCTATCGCTGCCCTCAAACCTGAACCTGTTGCTGTGGGACCCGCCATAGTAGGTGCTGACTTATCACCCATCGCCATCGGACCCGCCATCATTGAGAGCCCCGAACCCGTTGCCATTGGACCTGCCTGGGTTGAATCCCCCGAGCCCATCGCCATTGGACCCGCCATTATTGACGGACCTGAGCCTGTTGCTGTTGGACCCGCATGGATTGACTTCCCCCTGCCCGACGGTGGTGCTGCCTCTGCCCCCGTTGCGCCCTCTCCCGTGGCTGTCATCCCCGGCCCCGTGTCCTCTGAGATTGCTTCTGGTTCTCCTCTTGTTCAGATCATTCTGAACATCAACCACGTTTCCGCCGTGCCTGAGCCCGTCGCTGTTGGTCCCGCCGTGGTTCCCGCCGTTGTTCCTGAGCCTGTCCACGTTGTGGACGTCGCCCCTGAGCCCGTACATGTTGTAGAGGTTGCCCCTGAGCCCGTGCAGGTCGTGGAGGTCGCCCCTCCCATTCCTCCCATCGCCGTGAACCCCATCGGTGTCGTCGCTCCCGAGCAGGTTGAGCCTGTCGTCATCGGCGTGCCTGTCTTCCCCCAGCCTGTACTTAACTAAATATTGTCATCGTTTATCCGATCTCACCGAAACATTTTTCTACTGGTTTAAATAAAATATACTCATAAATATACATGCAAATATAAACATATTTTATTTTATATTATGTTCCTAAAAATGTTATACCTAGGTACGTTACTAAGTACCTAAATATCTTTTCTTTTTCAATTTCCATTCAAGTCGACCTAAGTCAGATAATTAGTAAATTTCACTTGCATGCAATCCTTTCTCTTTCGAAAATATATCTTATTTTATTTCTGTGGCTAACTAAATTGCAACTTCATATCTATCTATCATTTAAGACTAGTCAAGTCAAAAGTCCAAACAATATAAACTCGACACCCCGTACAAGTAATATGCAGACCCGTAGCTATTATTATTGACTGCACGGTTGGTGCGGTGGCTGGGCAACCGGTTGCCGTGAAACATGTCGCGGGTTCGATTCCCGCACGGAACAACACTTTGTGTGATCCACAAATTGTTGTTCCGGGTCTGGGTGTCATTGTGTATGTGAACTTGTATGTTTGTAAACGCACCCATGACACAGGAGAAAATCCTAGTACGGGGTAACGCTTTTTAAAGAAAATAAAACACATTATTAGCCACGCCCGCTTCTTATGCATTAGGGTACAGGTTCGAAACCTACCAACGGCAAGTACCAATGTAAATTTTTCCGAGTTATTTGTACTTTCTAAGATTATTTAGACACCACTGACAAACGTTGAAGGAAAACATCGTGGGTTAACTTGGGCTTATAATTTCTAATTATAAATTTGAAATCGCCAACTCACATTGAGCAAGCGTGGTGATTAATGCTCAAACCTCCGTGTGAGAAGAGGCTTTTGTTTAGCTGTGGAGATTTAAAAACTGTTGATGATGATGATGTGGTTATTAAACCACTTATCAGATTGTGAAGTCAAGGACATATCGGTTCTAGTTAGGACTCCGTACAAACCCTCAAAATAGGCTGCAAGCAAGAAAAGGAAGATGAAGACTTAGTAAAGTAATTACTAAAGTTTAATTATCTTTCTTTACTATTTTGCTACACAAAATCATAATAAACAAAACATTTAATACGCAAGTAGATAAATGAATTCAATAGTTTCCTTGTACTTGTACAATAAGCACAATCTTGGATTTAGTCATTAGATAAGGTTCTATTGTATACAGATTAGTAGATTAACTTCAATATAAAATGTTCGCGAAAATTAACATTAGCATAGTCTTGTTACAAGCAGACGATAAGTAAGTATTGGTACCACGGTACTACATCAGTCAAATTGTAAGAAAAATTGGTTTAAAAATCGTTGCTAACGAATCCATTGAAATATTTTCAGATAAATCAACATGAAATACTTCATCGCCATCGCTCTGCTCGCTGCCGTGGCTTCGGCCGGTATGATCAAGCCCACCCCAGTGGGTGCTGAGCTCGCCGAGCTCCAGGAGATCGTCGCCGCCATCAACAGCCCCAGCACCGACCCCGCCACCGCCGCCGCCCTCGAACAGATGCTCCTCGATGCTCTAGGCATCAAGCCCGAGCCCGTAGATGTTGGACCCGCCATCATTGAAGCCGACTCCCACCCTATCTCTGTGGGACCCGCCATCATCGACTTCCCCCTTCCCGACGGTGGTGTTGTCGCTGAGGAGCCCATTGTCCCTAGCCCCGTTATTGTCGCTCCCGCTCCCGTTGCTGAGGTCGCCCCCGTCGCTGCTGCCAGCACTCCCCTGGTCCAGATCATCCTGAACATCAACCAGGCCTCCGCTGAGGCTAGCCCCATCGCCGTTGGCCCCGCTGTCGCCCCCGAAGCCATCGTGCCTGAACCCGTCCACGTTGTGGATGTCGCCCCTGAACCCGTCCACGTTGTTGAAGTCGCCCCTGAACCCGTCCAGGTTATTGAGGTTGCCCCCGAACCCGTCCAGGTCATCGAAGCCGCTCCTGTACCCGTTGAGCCCGTCGTTATCGGAGTCCCCATCCTCCCTGAAGCCGTCGTGGCCCTCCCCGAAGCCCTCAACTAAGAATAATAATGAAGTCAATTTAATTTTAAGTACACGTTAAGACATGACAATAAAACAGTTGCATCTATCATAGATATTTCTTTTTCTTCTTAAGACTTACCTGTAGGTACCTACCGAATTTAAGACTTAATGGAAAAGAAAGACAATAACGATCAAGCTAGACTTCTGTCGACACTGCTAGACAATATTTTTACATAATATTAAAACACTGTGTGTTATTTATTTGTATCAGTCACAGATACTACTACTACTACCTATACAACTACATACCTATAAAGTATGAAAGATAGTTAATTTATATAAGTACAGAAAATCCACTGCTGTAAACTGCAGAGGTGTTCTCAAGTAGCGCAATAGTTGCAAAATTAACTTTCAGTGTATAATACTGGTTGATACGTTGATGACAGCTGATATGCTTGGTGATAATAGGTTTTCCATTTATGTAGTTTGCGAGCCAAGTTACTGTCTTGTTAAAAATTCAGAAGTAAGTTGTACTTAAGGTGTCCCACCAGAGAGTAATCATAGCGACTCCCAAAGTTGGGATGCACATGAAAGTTTACTCTTAGAATGAGGGCTTCTTATGGGTAAGAGGTTAAGAGGATTTGCCATAATTTACACGCTTAGCGGTTGGGTTCCAGTTTCAAAGGTTCTTCCAAAACTGATTCAATCCTAAGAGTCTTAGGCAAGGCGCCCACTATCGGCATCGGCAAGGAAAGGATCCTTCAGCATCTTATATGCAAGCACACACTGTCAGAAACTATACTTTAGCATGCTGGAACGTTCTTAGGGATGACGAGGCGGCCTTAAGCATGGCGCACCATCCTGAAGCATGCCGATGCATCTCAATATCGTATTACTCGTCATAACAGTCTCAGAGTTGTTACAAGCTAGTTGTCTGAGTTGATTTTAATATGGTAATGTTAAAAAAAAGACTGCACATTAAATAGGTTTAATTACAAATCTGAATCAAGACCGGCGGCGCACCGACAGAAAGCAATGCCCGAAAGCTTTGGCGTGAGTTAGCGGAGTGTGTGGATGAAGAAGCGAGGCGCTCGCGCAGCCGTGGGTCTTTATACCGCCATCCCGCGCGTCCCCGCCTCTATGGTCAATGGCCATACTAATGCACCGACAGTAAAGTGGGATCTAGAGCTCAAGCTCTTGCTAAAGAAGAAGAGAAATCTAATCAATCAAGCCGGCGGCTGGCGGCCGGAGGATGCCTAAGCATCCCGAAGCATCCTGAAGGATTCTCAAGGCTGCCGATACAGCAGCCTCAAGCATACCGAAGCGGTATTTCTGTTATTACGACCGTATGCACGGCAATTTCTACTTCATTGCTATTATGTTAATATTGTTAATGTATATTGCTATTTGCCACACAAAATCCTCAGACGTGCCGATGCGCCCGATGCCGATAGTGGGCGCCGGGCCTTAGACTAAAACCTCGTACCATGAAAGGAAAGACGAATATCAGAGATTACTTGTAATTTCACAAACCCAGTTTTAATAACATAGCACCTCAAGTAATCCATTAAAAAGTTTATTTTTTAAAAAGAGGGTCTGTTTATACCGCACTGAAGGGGTCTGAATAAGCAACAATACATCTATAGGTAAGGAATTCACTACAAGATATGCTCGAAAATGTAACAATTAATTTTCTGACCCTTAATACTTTTTCCTAAGTTTTATTAAAATATCTACCTGGGATGGTTGGGAAGTATGAGTTTCCACAAGAGGCAACACAGCTAATTGAACCACATACATAGGTACGTCGTTTGCATAGATAATGTTTTTTTTTGTATTTATATTTGAGATGACGAATGGTGCTAACAGTGATGATGATGACATCAGACATTAATAAAGATGATGATGGCCTTCTACATAGTACCACACCCATATGTGAAAGTAAGTGATACAGCGAAAAACAAAGGATATTAATAGGATTACTTTACGAATGGAATCTTGGTGAAGTATTTTTGTCCTATTTATATTATTTATGCTTAGATTTCATTGCAATAGATTGACTGCCTCATTGGCCGAGTGGTCACAAGTGCGTGTCGGGCAAGGGGTCTCGGGTTCTATTCCCGGGTGGGGCAAAGTATTACTGGGTTTTTAAAAATCTCAGTAGTAGCATGGAATCTGGAAATGTGGCCGGTATATGGCAATAGGCTCACCCCTTATTACATGGGACTCATAACATAAATAGTGAAAAGTGGGTGTTACATTGTACAGCGGCATTAAGTGCCGAAATGAACACCTCTGCCTACCCCTTCGGGGATAAAACGGCGTGATGTTATGTTTAGTGAAGTGTGAGTGAAAAAAAGTGAGAGAAAAATCATCCAATGCGTTCTCCCACCCGGGTGAGGCGAGAGCGAGTATCAGAGTCTTACCACTAAAAACCACCTCGTTCCTACTCCTACTCTTTAAGGTAGTGCCTCAGTGTCGTTAAGTCCTCCCCGGCTCCATATCGGCATCAGCCCTAGTGGGCCCCATCTGTGGTGGTTTGATGGCTGTTTGAGGCGTGCGGAACGTGACGCATCGTAATTGCATAGGCATTGGCATTTGTACGTCCTTTATAAAAAAAAAACCTGAACTCTTTGTACCTGGTACCCGCGCAATTCTCGAAAGACTCCGTTGAATTGCGGTTTTTAAGTCTACCAAGTGTGAAGGTTATTGTAAACCCTCTTATGTAGAGGAGGTCCATAGTTCAGCAGTGGGCCGGTCACCGGCACTAGATGTCGTTCGCTGTTTCTTTTTTAAATTTACACCGATGTTCTTATCTCAGTAGATGTTGCCCTTTTTTTTAAGGGGGGAATATCATCAAATGACTGCTCCCGCCTGGATGAGGCGGGAAGGAGTGTCAGACTCTTACTGACTAAAAACCACCCCGTTCCTTCTCCTGTACGTCGAGCCGGAGCCCCGGTTACCCGTTAGGTTCTCCGCGACAGATATTGTCCTTAGATTAGTTTTGCTGTGTTTATCAGTACAATATCAGTATGTATAGTAAAGTTTATTTAGGGCGTCATTAATAATTAATCCAACAGACACGTGCTGAAATAGTAAGTAGGTACCTAACTATACTATTACAACTACTGAAGTACGTTATTTGCCTATCTTGCTACCTAAAACTAATAAGGAACCAAATGATATATGAACCCAATAAAAGTAGTTTCCTTATACTATCGGGTTGTAAATATAATAGTTTTAAGTAAAATCTAGTATTTAGTCTTAGATAAGTTTCTATTGTATACGGATTAATAGATAAACTTCAATATAAAATGTTCGCGAAAATTAACATTAGCATAGTCTTGTTACAAGCAGACGATAAGTAAGTATTGGTACCACGGTACTACATCAGTCAAATTGTAAGAAAAATTGTTTTAAAAATCGTTGCTAACGAATCCATTGAAATATTTTCAGATAAATCAAAATGAAATACTTCATCGCCATCGCCCTGCTCGCGGCTCGCTGCCGTGGCTTCGGCCGGTATGATCAAGCCCACCCCAGTGGGTGCTGAGCTCGCCGAGCTCCAGGAGATCGTCGCCGCCATCAACAGCCCCAGCACCGACCCCGCCACCGCCGCCGCCCTCGAACAGATGCTCCTCGATGCTCTAGGCATCAAGCCCGAGCCCGTAGATGTTGGACCCGCCATCATTGAAGCCGACTCCCACCCTATCTCTGTGGGACCCGCCATCATCGACTTCCCCCTTCCCGACGGTGGTGTTGTCGCTGAGGAGCCCATTGTCCCTAGCCCCGCTATTGTCGCTCCCGCTCCCGTTGCTGAGGTCGCCCCCGTCGCTGCTGCCAGCACTCCCCTGGTCCAGATCATCCTGAACATCAACCAGGCCTCCGCTGAGGCTAGCCCCATCGCCGTTGGCCCCGCTGTCGCCCCCGAAGCCATCGTGCCTGAACCCGTCCACGTTGTGGATGTCGCCCCTGAACCCGTCCACGTTGTCGAAGTCGCCCCTGAACCCGTCCAGGTTATCGAGGTCGCCCCCGAACCCGTCCAGGTCATCGAAGCCGCCCCTGTACCCGTTGAGCCCGTCGTCATCGGAGTCCCCATCCTCCCTGAAGCCGTCGTCGCCCTCCCCGAAGCTCTCAACTAAATCGAATAATCAAATGTAATTTACTTATAAGATCCCATTTTAACATGCCAATAAAATCGTTGCATTAATCCATTAAAACTGTATATTTTTTACTTCTATATTCGCTAACGATTCAGGAACCTCGGAAGGTTATAACGAAGATGTTTCAATCATAGATTTCGATGCTGCTTAAAGCAACTACTTTGATGCTGCTGAACAAGAGAGCATTATATGTAAATAGATTACAAGTCTGGAGAAGAACATTGGTTAATTTTAGCTATAACTACTATTTTAACCTTTTGAGCGCCAATGTCACATATACGCGACAAGCGAAAACTGTCCCTGGACGTCAACGACACAAATACATGACAGAAAAAGCGGAACCAGAAACACGAATTATTGGAATCCCTATTGTTGATACAATAGGGATTCCAATAATTCCTATTTCTTTCGTAGAAATTTGCGTGGAATTTGTGGCTTGGTGTCGAAGGCAGGTTCATGTGTTTTTGCTCTGACGTTCAAAAGGTTAATGGCGACATTGCACTTCGTAAACAAATGACCCATCAATCAAGTTACATCTGAAATGAAAAGTATAGAAATACATTGTGTATTGTATTTCACCTTTCTAATTGTTTACGCGAAGCATCATGGAATAGTAAAATAGTAGCATATTGTCGAAAAGAAATAACTTACACATCAATGACGTTATACCCGAAATCCGAAATGACAAGAACAGCCATAATAGGGTTCTCTAAGTTTATTATTTCGTTTCGCATAGAATATAACGTCAGTCTGAACTAAGAAATGTAGGTACTTGTATAAAGTTTATTTATGTGTTTGTGAAATTGTACTTAACTATCCGATCGGTTTAGTAACCGATTTTAAAAATGTTTCTGTCACAGGAGGATTGTAAAATCTGTCATATCACATTACGGTTAGCCGTTTAAAAATCCCGTGCTGTTTTGTAATAACAATGGCTGACGACTAGCC